TTTGTTTTTTTTAATCAATTATGATTATGATTATTATTATATTAGCTTCACTTAATTATATTAGCTTCACACTTATATTAGCCGGCTGACTAACACGCTAACATAACAAACGCACCTACTCAGGGAACAGGTAGCCCATATGGACGTATCTTCGCCTCCTGGATCCCCGACCACGTACAGGCGATTCAATAGCCGCGAAGAGAACGTATTCTCAAGGTTAACCGCGAGTAGGCAACCGATTGCGTCTGAGCCGCAACCGATGAAAGGAATTATTTCGCAGTATCAAGGCAAGGTAAAAGAAAAAGGAGAAATAACGAGATTTCTTTAAAGAGAAAAATCTCTAGACTTCTAATTCTCTTCTCTGACGCAGTTTATTATTTTATATACATATATATATATATATATATATTTATTATATTTATATATATGTATATATTTAATATAAAATATATTTTATATATTTTTTATATATATTTATAATAATATTTTTTCCTCCAGGTGCAACCGCGGGCAATTTTGCAATGTTCCCACGTAGCAGAAGGACACAGCAAAGCTGTACTCACCATATGTGTGACTCCAGATTTACTCTTTAGCGGCTCGAAAGGTGACGTGAATGTGATGTCAAAATTTTGTGAAGATAATTTATGTATAGAAATGGGATCAAGTTCAATATGTACTTAAAAATACCTGAAAATTTGTCCCTACAATTTTTGTTGAAAACAAAAATTCAGTTTCCATTTTTAAAAAACAATGATTATTGAATTTCTCGAAAGTGGCGCTATCTATGGTATTTTTTTGTAAAAGCGGAGAAAAAGAATTCTAATTTATCTTGATCCAGATTCGAAAACTTTTGTTCAGAAAAAAATCAGTTTCCATTTTAAAAAATATTAAATTTCTCGAAAGTGGCGCCATCTATGATTTTTTTTGTAAAAGCAGTGAAAAAAGCTTCAAATTTACCTTAATCCAGATTCGAATCTACTTGAAAGATTGATTTTTTTAATAGAAAATAGAAGTAATTAGGGAGTTTGAAACTTTGCAAACTTTGAATCTACTTATATAAGATGTTTAATTTTACCGTTATTTTCTACGTAGCAGACTAACGTCATTAAACGTCAAAATGACGTTGTTTAATGACGTCAATCTGCTACATGGAAAATAACCATTGGCCTACGACTTATATAAATGCGTGCACAGCTAAAATAATGTTATCTCATGAATTTTCAGATCGCACCGTGAAGGTATGGGATTTAGAAACTGGAATCGAGAGTCAGACCTTGAGCGGACATCCGAACAACGTGGTGGCCGTGAAATACTCCACCACGCATCGACTTCTGTTCAGCGTGTCCGCAGCGTACGCCAAGGTCTGGGACTTGAGAGCCGGCAGCTGCATAAAGACGCTATTCTCCTCTGGTCAGACCCAGGGCGGCCCGATCGCATTGTCGACTCCGTCCAGAATACTGCAAGTTCCTGTAGGGGAGACGACCATCAACGACTTGGCGCTCAGTCTGGACGAGCAAGAGCTATACACAGCGGCCAGCGACAAGGTTAGAATATGGGATCTTCGTAAGCTGACGTACACCGCTAGATTGAACACCCCGCACACGGCAGCCGTCATGTGTCTGGCTGTCGCCGAGGATGGCAGAGTGATAGCAGGTAGCAAGGATCATCTGATATCTCTCGCCGAACCGAATATGTCCGGCTCGTCCATCAGCTTAGCGCCGCCGCACTACGACGGAGTTCAATGCTTGACCACGATTGGCTCCACTTTGTTTTCCGGTGTGTTCTCTATTGCTCAGACTTCCCTAACAGCATACATATCCTAAAGACGTTCAGAAAACATCTTGAGGATATCCTCTGTGAATATCCTCTGAATATCCTCTGAATATCTTTCGGATATATGTTGTGCTATTAGGGTTTCCATCCTTGGTATCATACGATTGAAATGTACGCGAAAAAAATATTTTATTCCTCTCATTTCGCAGGCTCTAGAGATATGTGCATCAAACGATGGGACCTAAGTAAAATGGAGCTGGTACAGTCCCTCAATAATGCGCATAAGGATTGGATCCTTGGACTATGCACGATAAACAACGGCTCTGTGATGATCTCCGGATGTCGCGGTGGTATTCTCAAGGCATGGTCCGTCCCCAGGGATCATTCGGGGGAATGCACCCCAATTGGGGAGGTTCGGGCGCACACTTCTGCGATCAACGCTATCGCGACCAATCAGCAGCACGTATTTACAGCGAGCAAGTAAGTGAAAAAATATATTTAAATATTTATACACTCGGCTGTGATGTCCTAAAGGATCTTTATAACGATACTAGTAGCTACTATACAGAATCAATTATGAAATTAAATTAGTATACACAGTGTTGAGCTTAGATGATTTGAAAATGAGCTAAATAAAGATGAGATAAAAAATATGTAAATTTATCTGAGATAACATGAAGATGAGATTTTGTTTTAAATATATTTAGATAAAATTATATGGCGATTCAGCTAGATAATATTATATATTTTTAAGACCACTTATAAAAAATGTAAATTATAAAAGGAATATGAAAATATTTATTTATATTTTTATTTGTAAGTTTCTATTGCTTACTGCTTAAGGTTCTGTTGCTTAATAATAATATTTAAATATTTTTATGTGCTATGACTAAACCAAATTTATCTTGATCCAGATACGAAAATTATTCTAGATAATTTAATAAAGATAACATTTTTTTATCTAAGATTTAGATATAGATAATACATATTTTTATTATCTATATAAAAATAAGATGACACCAAAAAATTTTATCTAGATGATCATCTATATAATTTTATTTAGATTACAGCAAACACTGAGTATACATAATTGAATTAGAATTACTCGGGTTCAACTATGGACCATGGCACGATATTCCAGGTGAAATAACGGTCTCGGATATTGATTTCAGCTCTGGAGAAGTGAAGCTGTGGCGTATACCCGATACCTCGTTATCTATGTCTATCTCCACAGTTTCCCTTTAACTTTATTTGCTTTTTGCTTGTACGTTAATGTGTTGTGCGTTTAGCTTGTATTTATTTTTTTCGTTAATAATGCGCATGTTTACTTAATAGAATTTAACACAACAATATGTATTCTCCATTATAATGTAAATATAACGAAAGAAAATCGAATGTTACATACATTGAATCATTTTTATGCAATATTATAATTTATGAAAATGCTTTAAGGCTTTTGGCTCCTCGTCGACCATGTTAGATTGTGACGTCAGCGGCGAGAAAATACATGCTGAAAATTCTTAATGCCTTTTCTAAATAAAAAGATATATTTTGGTGCAACTGCACTTTAGATGGCTTTAGCACACTCATGATTTAAAAATCTAAATGAAGATGAGATGAAAATATGTAAATTTATCTTAGATAAATTCAAAAATAATTTTAAATTGAAATATATGTAGATAAAATATAAAATTATATAGCGATTTATCTAGATAATTTTCAAATAATATTATTTGTAAAATTACTTATGTAAAGAATTATTTCAAAAAATATAAAAAACAAAATAAATTGTAAATTGCCAGTCTAAATTAAAAACAAGGTTGTTAAGTAATTGACCAAACAGACTATAGATAAATATCTTTATTTAAGTGACATTTTTATATTTCTTTGTATTTTTGTAGCTGGAAAAGAACCCCATTTAGGATCGAAACGTCGCTTAAATAAAGATATTCATCTATAGTCAGTTTGGTTAATTACTTAACAACCTTGTGCAAAAATATAAATTATAAGAAAAACGTTCATATTTTTATTTGTAAATTTTTATCGCTTATTGTTTTATTCTAGATAATTTAGTAAAAATAACACTTTTTTATCTAAGAGGTGCAAATTTAGATAATATAATTTTTATTTATCTATATAAAGATAAGATGACGTCAAAATTTCATCTAGATGATCATCTATATAATGTTGTATATGTATATTACAATCATTTTACAGTTGTTGATGAATTGTCATTTTAAAAGTGTGCTAAAGTCTGAAATAAAGTATTTCGTCGAAATATATTATTTTTATTTAAAAATGGCATTTAAGAATTTTCAGCATATGTTTTCTCGCCTCTGACGTTACAATCTAACACAGCCGCGGCGAGAACCCAGGCTAAAATCAAGTAAAAACGCGCAAATACATTCTATAGACTTGAAAAGGGCTATATTTATGTTTGTACTTAATATTTACATATTAAATCAATGTGATTAATTGCCAAAAACTAAAAAGTTCTCTTTAAGGAGAATCAAATTTAGAGATACACGAGATCGTTTGTTTGCCTAACTTTGTAGATATACTTTTTCCCACAATGAAAGACAATACAAATTCGAGAATCAAAACGATTAAAGATTCAATAATCAGTTTTGCATAAATATATTTATTAAAATCTAATGTGTTATATGAATGTTTAATTTATATATATATATATATATGTTACTGCTTTTCTATGTTGTTTCACTTCACTTTGGTGCTTTGCATGGTGTCATCGTGTCGATACGAAGCGATGGAACTGTGAGATTGTGGAATTACTGTAAACGAGAGAATGCAAGGACCTTCCACAGGAGCAACTCGCTGAAAAGCTAACATCGTACTACTACGTATATTGTATATTTAATTTGCAATTATACAGTTTAAATGATAATGCACTTGACCATCCGTTACGTTTAATTTGTACTATTTTTTATACATTGCTATTCATTTTTTTTTATATTAATTAAGAATATACTCTCCAAATAATTTTTATACTTCTTTGACTCTGTTGCATAATTTTTAAATAAATGTTAGGTAAATGTGTGTGTGATAATTAAAATATGTAAGACAATATGTTATATTTAACAAAATATTGACTCTTGCAATGTTAAGAAAATCCGTCTGAAATAAGAATGATGTGCATTATCATACGCCTAAAAGGAAATTTAGATAAAATATTATCTCTGAAAGGGGGAAAAAGAACTATGCGTTATCTAATATTTATTTTATTATGAACGTAAAGATATAATCGTAATCATAATAATTAGAATATTTATTCTTAGTACAAACAATAATTGTCGGTTAATACTGTACAGTCTGAGGTCTCTGTAGGTTCCAAATACTGGATATTGTCAGGGTTGGCTGTTATTCAATTTTCTTCTGTGAAAATTTCAAAAACAGTATTACACGCCTTAATATATTATATGCTACAAAAAATTGCTATGAGAAATAAATCAATTATATATAGAAAAAAGCCCATTGTAATTGTAGAATTTTAATTCATACAAAACAGGGTTGAAAGTTATTTTTGTAAAAGTATCTAGTTACAGTTACTGTTTTTTTTCACTAAAAATAACTAGTTACTAAATTAACAATTACTGATTCTGAAAAATAACAAGTTACAGTTACGATAATTCAAAAAGTAACGAATCGTTTCTTTTCAGTTACTTTTTTTGCACAATGACTCTATATTATATTTTAAATATAATAATTTTATGTATTTTAATCTTTACTAAATTATATATTACACACTTGATTATGTGATTGATAATAAATTATAATCGTTTTAAATTTAAACTGAAAATATATTAAATATTAATAATTTGAAATAAATTAACTTCTTCTATAACACAATAATTAATATGATTTACTTAAAATAAAAATTATGGAATTCCAGATTTTTCAGTTAAAAAATTCATAAAATTTCAGACAATCGTAACTTACCTAAAAATTGTTACAATTAAGTTTTAAATTATAAATAAACTAATTATAATATTAAATTAGTTACAGCAGCTACCAAAGAAATGAAACTAAAGTTAAGTTACAGTCATAGATGCAGAAAAAGGAACAATGTTAAGTTAGTTACCAAAAAATTCATCTGTAACTGTAACTTCGTTACAAGTAACGAATTACTTCTCAATCCTGCAGAAAGATCTTTGCTTCTATACCTCTTTTTCTTCTTATGCGCGGTGAGTGACTCTTGACCACTATCGTCCTCGCTATCCTCGGATTGACTACTGCTAGTACTACTCGACGAACTGCTCGAAGACCCACTCGAGGAATCACTGGCGACTCCGGTGTCCATCTTTACATCTATGGTCTCCGCTAATGTTGCCAATTCAGGTTCCTTATCGTAGAGGACCTCTAACCATTTCCGCGACAATTTTGGCCGTCCTCGAACCTGTTTTGCAATAAGTAGCTTAGTGTAACGTCCTTACGTAAATTACAAGGAGAAACCTTAATATTCTTAAAGAAGAGATCGAGTTTAACATGTAGTTAAAAATTCAAATTCAAAAATCCAATGTTGTGCGTAGATGATTTTAAAATTAGATAAATATTAGCTAGATAGAAATGAGATGAAAATATGTAAATTCATCTTAGATAAGATAAAGGCGATTTTTTTAAATATATCTAGATAAAAGATAAAATTATGTGGCGATTCATCTGGATAACTTTATCAGATATTATTTTTAAAATTGCTTAATGTAAACACAGCTATAAAAAATGTAAATTATAAAAAAGATATAAAATGTATTCATACTTTTAAAAGCTTTTATCGCTTACTGCTTAAGTTCGACTATTTAAGTAGTTTTTATGCGTTATTTTATGCCCTAAATGGTCTAAATTATTTGAACATTATCCTAGATAATTTAATAAAGATAACACGTTTCATCTTTCATCATTCATAAAATATAGATATAGATAATACATATCATAGATAATACACATTTTATTATGTATATAAAGATATGACGCCAAAACTTGATCTAGATGATCATCTATATAATTTTATTTAGATAACAGCAAACACTGAAAATCTAATAGTTTCACTTTCTAGGATTTGCATACTTAAATACTTAAAAATAATATTTTATTTATTGTACTTGCAAAGTAATCAAATCTTCAAGAACAGTTATTATTCGAATTTTAGATTACTGAGTATCTGCAAGATTCGAAACAATACTTGATAAGAAATAAACGTCTTCTATCGCCAAATTCCTATCGCTAAATCGCACATGCAGTTTTTTTGATATTTTTAAAAATAATCAAAAAGGAATAATACAGAGTGTCTCATAGGGCATGGTTGAAATTAATCGCTGTCATTTTTTCATGCATGCAGTTATTGAGAAAACAAAAATTGTGTTGAAAAGAGGAAAGTCTGAATGGATATAAATAACATACATGTTATTTGACATCGGATTCTTACCGTTTTGTGCCAAACTACCGGGAAGTTGGTGCGCGAACAGAAATTCTGCGTCACCGCTATAGTTTCATCGAGATTTAAGACAATGTGCCACCAACCACCGGGAATGAAAACGGTCTCGCCGGGAACCTGTAGAATCTCGATCGGGCGGCAATCGTTCGGCCACGACGGCAGCTTTGTGCGGGGATAGACGATAGAAAACCATGTGATAGCTTCGTCCCTCTGTTTACCACCCTCGGCCGCGGTTATCTTCAACAGCTCGCGAGGAGTATGCGTAGGAAATAGGCACCAACGTTTATGACCGGAAATTAATGCGTTCCAGGCACTGGTACCCAACGGATCTATATGTATTCCTGTACCTGATGCAATTATGTCAAATATATATATATAATTATATATGTCAAATATAATTAAATATGTGGTTGTACTTAGTGTTGTACTTAGATGAATTTAAAATTCGCTAGATACAGATGAGATAAAAATATGTAAATTCATCTTATTGTTAGATAAGATAAAGATGATTTTGTTTTAAATATATCTAAATAAAAGATCAAATTATATAGCGATTAATCTAGATAATTTTCTGAATAATAATTTTTATGGCTGCTTATGTAAACACAGTTATAAAAAAATATAAATTATAAAAATATATGTATTCATATTTTTAATTTATAAATTTGTATCGCTTACTGCTTAAGTTCTACTATTTATATATTTTATCTGCTATGATTCTAAACCAAAATTATTTGAAAAATATTCTAGATAATTTAGTAAAAATAATACTTTTTTTCATCTAAGATGCAGGTATAGATAATACATATTTTTATTATCTATATAAAGATGACGCCAAAGTTTCATCTAGATGATCATCTATATAATTTTATTTAAATAACAGTAAACACACTGTGTGGTGTACAAATGACAGCAATATTATTCCAAAACACTTACCAGATCTTGCAGGACCCATGACGAACCAACGATATGGCGGTCTACGGTGTTCTCCAGCATAATGAAAAAGATCATCTCGGAAATATTTAGGAATTATGTAATCATCCAACAATCTCTTTCGCCTTGGATGTTCGCCGAACGAACTGTCGAAAATATATAAGGGGGAATCATCTTCGTTATTAAACATGTAACGAACGTAATACTTCATCTTCATTTTTACACTGTATCCCTCATTGTCCTCTCCACACTTAAACTTTTGATTTCGATATTTCTTTGCTAACTTCTGAAATCGCATAAAAATAGAATTTAGGAATTAAGAATATTGTAGAATTTTGTACACAATAAATTTTATGAGCCATATTCTAGTGCCGTTATATTATGTATCAATTGTAAATGGTTTAGTGAACTGTTTTAATGTTTGACCTTAAATATAATTTTTCCTACATGTTACACTTTCAAAAAACTGAGTAATCTTTTTCTAAATAAAATTCAATTTTTTGTTTAACAAAAAATTGTTGTAGATCTCATCAGTATTAATTAAGAGTTTTTTTTCTTGATTTTTCCATAAGTTACATAATTTTTTAATAATTTTGGAATAGTGTCCTACACACGTGTTGAGAGATACTTTCTCCTTAAATTTCATTTTTTCAGTAGTGATATTCAATCAAAATGATGAGGTTGTATAGAAATAAAAGCTGCTGAAAAGGAATACATACTCGTACATTTGGGAAAATGCTTTGAAGAAGACTTCACATCTATTTTACAACTTACTTGTCCACATCAGAACAGTAATATTCCAAACAACTTCTGTGCAACACATTTTTTGTAAAATAGTAGTAATAATACAGGGTGCTCCATAAAAAATTGCTGAAACTAATTAGATGTCATTTTTTAAGGCATGCAGTTATTGAGAAAACAAAAATTGTTGGAAAGAGGAAAGTCTACAATTTTTAAAAGATATAAATAAAATGTTTGTATACTAGTTTATTTTATTGATAAAAATAATGAAAAAAGTGCTAATAATCACATAACTGATGAATATTGAAAAAGATCATCTCAGAAATATTTAAGAATTATGTAATCGTCCAACAATCTCTTTCGCCTTGAATGTTCGCCGAACGAACCGTCAAAAATATATAAGGGGGAATCATATTTGTTATTAAACATGTAACGAACGTAATACTTATAATATTTAACTTATATTTTATAATATTTTAATATTTTCAACAGTGCCAGATTTAATAACAGCTATTAAAAGGATCGTCAATAACATTAAAAATGTTAGAGTTTTTACAAGTTTTCGTAAAAGAAAAGAATTTTGTACAAATTCAAATAGTGCGCATTTCGAAAATATTTATCTTTAGTTTACACATGTGATTATTAGTATTATTTTCATTACATTTTTTCAATAAATAAACTGGCATACAAATAACTAGCATTTTATTTATATCGATTAAAAACTGTAGACTTTCCTTTTTTCAAGACAATTATTGTTTTCTCAATAACTGCAGGCATTAAAAAATAATAGCTGATTAGCTTCAGCAATTTCCTATGGGATACTCTGTATATTTATAATGAATGATACTATAACAGCTCCTGACGACACCTAGATCATAATAATGCAGTGTATCTTTTTACTTTTGTAGTTAGCTAGGTATTCAGATCCAGCTTAGAATCTGGTTTAGCAAATTTGTTACTCCTTTCGGATCCTGAGAAACTAGGTTTTGTAGTTTTTTTTCTTCAAGGTGTACAAAAAGATTTAGATTAAAATTACTTATTCTAACATTAAAATATTGTAATAAGAAAAACTGACCTCTATAGTCCACTTGTGCTGGGCTCTCCAGCCAATTTGAACACCTCGTATTATCACAGGCTTGTAAGGTTTTTCGTATTTTTCTATGAAATCTTCCGTAGTCACGCCGGATTCATCAATTCGTTCGGCATTGTCCTCAAATTCCCGAAATTTTTGAAAATTCTTGCTATAATTTTGCTGGGTCCATGCAGCTTTATCGGCAAGCTCTAAAAATATAAATATAAAACTCCAACAGTTTTAATCTTCAGTCTCTCCTTTCGATTATCATTTAAACTAATATTTGGTTTCCTATATTACACAAGAATATTAATGTTGACAAATATTCAACATCAAATCATATTGGAGATGTATGCATTAATTGAAAAATAATTGAATTACTTTTTCTTGATGGTTTCAGGGGTCTCAGCTAATCAAAAATGATCTATCTTGCCAGTCATAAGCTCTAATAAGATAAGAATATCTATATGTATGATGATGGAATCTGATAAAAGTTGTCTTCTTACTAAATTCTTCTAAGATTTCTTGTTAAATCTTCTTATCATCAAGTACTATAAAACTTGACTAGAGCTAAAAAAAGCCCAGGTAACAAGCATACGTCATTTTGATGTCATTAGATGTCAAAATGATATAATTAAATGTCAAATTGATGTCATTAAATGTCAAAATAATGTCATTAAATGTCAAAATAATGACATTTTGACATTTAATGACATCTTTTTGTTATTTGAAAGGTTTCAAATAGAAGAAACGCGCAAAAACGCGTTTGGACACCAATATTATAATTGGATTAGTTTTTATTGAGAAATCAAATTACATCAGTCATTCAAGGTTTTCAGGGGGAAAGAGGGTAGAAGAATAGTGCTCTCGCTCTCGCTCTCTCTCTCTCTCTCTCTCTCACACACACACACACACATACACACACACACACACACTCTATCCCTCTCCCTCGGGAAGATCATATAGGAGAATCAACGAGGAACATAAATTTTTATTTCTACATCAAGCCCGATGATTTTTCGAAACTTAAGAAATAAAAGAGAAAAGAAAGGTAAATATCGAGCTTGCCGCTTCTTACAAGAAATCTAAGTTATAAATCACAAGTTCCATCTTCCTTACCTGGTCGAGCTTTCTTTTTCACTTCCCTGATTTTCTTCTTGTCGCGATGATCCAGCTTCCATTGCTCCGTCATGACTACGTTTTATATATATAGATATATATATATATATTTAATTAATTAAACTAATCGCAGTGTATATATATTACAAAGAGATTACACAGTAAAGATACTTTAAAAATGCATTGCAAAACGTTGAACGTGTAATAATAACCTGTAATGATGGATGACAAACTCAGTCTTGCCAAACCTAGGTAAGATACTTCACTAGGCGTTTCAAAGTTACTAGAGAAAAATTACTAGGGAATAAAAAAGTTTAAAATAAATTGACGTCGAATTTATTCTCAAAAATCTTTTTTTACGAATCGTTTGTTGTTCGTAGGTGATTGTTGGCTTAATTACGACTTTTGTTGGTTAAAGCGGGGAGCACACACTTTTGCGTAAGCGCATAAGCATATATACATAGGAAATTCGATTGGTTGAATTTCTTATGCATACGTTTATAGACCAATCAAGATTATTATGCTTTATTATGCTCAATCAATTGAATTTCTTATGCATATGCTTATGCGCCTATGCAAAAGTGTGTGCTCCCCGTTTTAATCTCCAACCCAATGAGAAATGATGGCCGAATCGACGTCGATTCGTTGTCGAATCGATGTCAAATTCGTCGAATCGATGACGATTCAACCAATCATTTTTCACTAAAAAGTAGCAAACTGACATTGTTAAACGTCAAAATGACGTCATTCTGACGTTGCTAATAACGTCATTTGAACGTTTAATGGCATCAATTTGTTATATATTGATGTGCAATTATCTGTTAAATTTGGTCACGGATAAACTACGAGGGTCGTTTGAAAAGTCCGTGCAAAAATAAAAACTACTTCATTGTTTGGGGTAAACCTTTTTTATTCTTCAACATAATCTCCTTTTAGGCTTATACACTTCGTCCAACGCTGCTCTAGTTTGTTGATCCCTTCCGAATAATAGAATTTGTCCAAGTCTGAAAAATAGCCATTCGTGTCTGCAATCACCTCCTCGTTTGAATAAAATCTTTTTCCCGCCAGCCATTTCTTCAAATTGGGAACAAATAATAGTCCGAGGGAGCCAAGTCTGGAGAATAGGGGAATGTGCAACGAGTTGGAACCCTATTTCCATTAATTTTGCGACCACAACTGCTGAGGCATGAGCTGGTGCGTTGTCGTGATGGAAAAGGACTTTTTTGTGGGCCAATCGTGGGCGTTTTTCTTGCAGCTCGGTTTTCAAACGGTCCAATAACGATGAATAATATGCACCTGTAATAGTTTTACCCTTTTCCAGATAGTCGATGAGGATTATTCCTTGCAAATCCCAAAAGACAGTCGCCATAATCTTTCCGGTCGAAGGAACGGTCTTCGCCTTTTTGACGCAGATTCCCTCTTGGTAACCCATTGTTTAGATTGTTCTTTGATCTCAGAGTGTAGTGATGTATTCATGTTTCATCCACAGTGACGAAACGACGCTTAAAGTCCTGTGGATTCTTCTGGAACAGCTGCAAACCGTCCTTGCAACACTTCACACGATTGCGTTTTTGGTCAAGCGTGAGCAATCGCGGCACCCATCTTGCGAATAGCTTTGTCATGTCCAAATGTTGATGCAAAATATTATGTACCCGTTCATTCGAGATGCTCACAGCACTAGCAATTTCACGCACCTTCACTCTTCTGTCATCCATCACCATATCATGGATTTTATCAATGATTTCTGGAGTAGTAACCTCAACAGGGCGTCCAAAACGTTTAACGTCACTTGTGCCCATATGGCCACTCCGAAAATTTTGAAACCACTTATAAACTGTTCTAATCGAAAGTGCAGAATCACCATAATGTTTATCAAGCTTCTCTTTAGTCTCCTGAGGCGTTTTGCCTTTCATAAAGTAATGTTTAATCAACACACGAAATTCTTTGTCGCCCATTTTTTGAAAATCACTCGACTTCCTCGATTCAAACGAATCCAAACACAAAGAAATAGACCGATCTGGCTGAAACTTGGTGTGTGTTCTTCCAAGAGATGCTACTAACCACGGTCGTATACACAGGTCTGGAAACTCTCATGGTGGGGGTAAGGCTCTTAATGAATGTCAAAAGTTTCTTGAGTTAACCGCTAGCCGTATGGCACTGTGATCGCATAGTAAGAGTTCTTTTTTTTTTAAATGACTATATATCATAACTCATATATCATATCTGTTTAATTAAAATTTCATTAAAATGCCGTCGGAATGTGTTGTGCCGAATTGTACAACAAATAAATATAAGGTGTATGCGTAATAACATATAAATATATAACGTGTAATAATATATAAATATATATTATTTAATACCGATATTTTTGTTATTTATGTACAATTCTTGAAAATATTGCATATGTGCAAATATATATAATAAAAATATATATTAATATTATTTTTATTGATATTGATATGTAATATGATAGAGTTATATCTAAAAAATATTTATAAAATTATATTTAAAACATCATGCACTTAATATAAAAATTATATTATTTTTAACCACAAAACTTTAAAAAAAATAATATTCATTAATTATCAATAAAATATCAATTATGATATTTTAGACAAATTAGCAAAAATTAAACAATAATAAGACAAATAGGACATCAACAGTTTAGGCACATCTTTTCGATAGTATATAAACACACATAACTTGCGACTAAATATAGTTCAAAATGAGGTGTCTTGTTAGACGGTTGGTTTCATCTATTTATAATAATTTTCTTTAAAAAGATTGTGTTAAACTGTGAGAAAAAGCGACAAAAAGTAAGCATAATAAATTTTATGTAAGGCCGTTTATATATTAAGAGACATACGTTAATTGTTATTCATTTATCAATCACAGCGCCTATGGATACTAAAATTTCTCGTTTAATAACGAAGAAATAACTTACGAGATCCAACATCATAAGATTTCATTACGGCGAATATTTTTAAAAACATGACAAATTGTAACACGCATAAAGTTCTAATATATTCTCGACTCGAATTAACAGACTAATAGTAAATTGTAAGAATAGGATTTTTGTAAGAATTATAAATTACGTAACACTGTTATACTGAGGAAGACCGCGTGCGGTTGAAACGTTTATATATGAAAGGTTTTTGTAATTTCAATATATTGTTTATATGGAAGGTTTTTTGTAATTTCAATATATTGTTTATGAAATAAATTTTAATTGGATACATCTTAAATATTGCTCGATAAGTTGGCCTTTTGTGAATACATTTTTTGTTTTATTTATTTCTCTTTAAATTTAAATAACATGAATAATTATAGGAACGATATATTTAATTCGACCCAAACTAACCAAGAAAATTTTCATTTTATTTCCACAACGTTTCGACCATCTGTTTTTGGTCCTTTTCAAGGTCCTTTAAAAAACTAGAATGGTACAATTAATTAAAATTAATAAACATTTTTGATGTTAAACGCAAGAATTAAAAATTGTTTTCATACTTCCTTGATAAAAGCGCAGTTAGTTGACACTGTTGTCATGATTATTAAACAATACATATGATTATCGGAATTTTTTTAAAACATTTGAAATAACTTTTGAAAAAAAGTAACCGCATCTTATCGTTATGATAAGTATATGATAAGTATATATAAATACGTATAGATAATAAAATAAATTATTTATCTGCAAATAATTATAATTCAAATATATTTAAACGTATATTTAAAAAAAGTAATATAAAGCACAAAAATTAAATTTAGAAAATTAAAAAATAATTGAAAATTTTACATTAAAAATAAAAGTAAAAAATGTAATGTACAAAAAATTCTTAGCGCTGTTTTTGTATTGTAGCCCTTTGACTGTGAAACATCCTGAAAAATGATGATCAGTAACGAAATATCCCAGCAAATACAAATGTTACAGTAACATAACATAGATGTAATAGTTATGTTACAATGTAACATTTACATTTATGTTATGTTACTGTAACATTTGTATTTGCTGGGATGTATATACAGGATATATATATATATATATATATATATATATATATCCCAACAAACACAGTATATAAATGTTATATACTTAAGCATGTTACATGTAACGTATATGTTAGTTGTAATTTCCCACACTCATAGATGTAACATTTTTAATATTACATATATTACACTGTAGTTATATTGTCATTATATCCCAAGATAGCACTGACTTATCAATATATCAATGTGCTATTTGGTATATAATTACAATATAACTACAATGTAATATATGTTATATTAAAATGTTACATCTATGAGTGGGAATTACAACTAACATGGATGTTACATGTAACGTACACGTTATTTACCTGTTATATTCCGTTTATTATAGCAATGTAACAATTATATATCGGTGTTTGCTGGGATATATATATACAATGATAACTTACTAAATATACGAGGCCATATATGTGAAACGAGCAATAAAAATTATTTTAAGCTTGGTAAAATTTTAATTTAAAAAAACCAATTATAATACAAACTCTAAATTCTTAATTACAACGTTTCGAACTATACTTATTGTAGTCTTCTTCAGTGCGCAGTCAAACAATAATAATAAAAACTCTAATAAAAAGTCGCAATACATTAGTCAAAATAAATTAGATAATTATGTCAAAATTAAATACGAAATACGTTAACAATAAATTAAAATAAATAAAAAAATAGTTCAACACGAAAAGTCCCAATTAGAAGCAAAAATCGAATTCAAATAATTCATCCGGCTATATATATATATATATATATATATATATATATATATATATATATATATAATCAGTAAATATTTTAAAATTATTAAAACCTCGGAGTGGCACTTAAACATTCGTCCAAACTAATCACTCATTGTTAGTCGGCGAAAGGCTATCAGTTCGTGTTCATTTCCTCCAAGTTATTTAATATTTTTTATTATAACTGAATTTAAAAAGAAATTTTGTATTATAAAATAGAAATCCACTTATGCATATGTAAAAATTAAAATTAGTTAATTGTTGCTTACAATTGTTCCGAATAAATTGAGATAATAATGCCTCTAATTGTTGTTGAACTTAGTACTTGACTGATGTCAAGTCAGTTAAAAAGTTGAATAAATAGGTGTCAAGTCGCAAAACAAACATTTTAATAAGTCTAAAATTCGCTATTTCTTCTAGAATGTCAAAATAAGCGTTGTTAAGCAATTTGGTGTCTGTATTATTATTTATACCATGCTTTTGTTCTTTTATGTGTATCATCTCCGAGATAAATCTTTTATTGTAATTCGATTCAATATCAAGTATTTTAACGTTATCCCAATCAAAAGAATGTTTTTTATTTACAATATGTTCAGAGACCACCGAATGCTTGGAAGAATCAAATTTTATGTTATTTATATGCTTCTTTAGTCTAGTACGTAATTTCTTTTGGTTTGCCCAACATACGAAACTTCACAGTCTTTACAATTAATTTTGTAGACGACATTATTATTAATTAATACATTGTCGCTCGTATATTCTAATGAATTTGTTAAGATTATTAAGACAACGGTAATCCCACTCTAAAAATCTGATTTTTAATTGTCCGATGCCACTGTTTCCGAATGTTATTCTATAGATGACAAAAAAAATTCTATTAGTTCCCTCTGCTATTTCTTTGTTCTTTTATTGTACATGAAAATTGTTTTTTAATACTTTTATTCATTCTATTATTTCCTTAAAAATTAATAAATAGGTAAACCGTATCCATAAATTTCATACAATGTTCTAATTTTTCTGTGAATATGGGAGGAGTAATAGTAATGCTATATCAATTGAGATTATAAACATTCCTTTTTTGTGGCACATGGGGTGATTCGAAAAGGGAAAAATAGTACTCTGCCTGATACCAGTCTTTTTTTGAAACCAGTCCATGTGTATGAACGTTATCAATGATCTTTAATGTTAAATCTAAAATATTTATGCTTCTCTTACTTTCGTATTCAACCATCAAATTGTAGTCGTGATGGTAACTATTGAACTTGTTCAATATACATCTATTTATTCTTTGGTGCCACCATAATTAATGTCATCTAATATTAGATACATTCCGATATCAAAATCCAACTGTGTTAATATCGATGATTCTCTAGATTCTAGATCTTGCATAACAAATTAGCAATTATTGACGGATAACGGGAAACCCATAGCGTGCCATAAACTTGTTGTAAACAATGTCATTAAATGTGAATGATGAAATATGTGACGACGACAATTAAATTTAAACCATAGAATAATTCTTTTTTGGAATTAATGTATGTGTATTAATATCTTCCATCTATTGCTCACACTTTCAATTGCAAGATCTATCGGAATGTTAGGGAAGAGTGAAACTACGTCTACGATATTAGAA